AAAGAGTGTGTAATTCAAAACACTAAACTTTATTGTAACAATATTTTGAGCAGTCCCACTCAGATTCGAACCAGGGGCGCACAGATTCATTTTCCGCACGACTGTGCCGCTGTGCATCATTACATTTACTTCAACCGCTACACCCAATACAGATATCGTATTATGTTCGACATCTACTTCTGCACTGCTTCCTCTTCGTCATATTACCCCGCGCGCTGATAATCAACACTTCACAGTAAACAACGTGATACATACGAAGAAGTATTCTTCGCTGCTTCCCGATATACAAACTATATATGGTTACATCACCATGGAGTCTGTGCTCACATTACTAAATCAGTGTTCTGGTGACATTAAGCGTGAAGTAATTTACCACAGGACAAATGAGCGTGATCTTACCAATACTCGATAATGGTTCGTTTGCCATTACGCGATATTTACTTGCTTGGTATCCACCAGGGAATTGCTCGCAAGTAGACACTTGCCGCTGTAACACTAAGATCAGGCATAGACTCTGGTAAACCTACTTGTTGAACTCATAGACGATTTCGTAGCGAAACCTAGCGCATAACATCACCCCACTGAGTTTCTGACCGGATCTTCTAAGCGGGTTCGGATTCCCACACGATAGTAGATATATTCCCTAACAGCAGCCACAACACAGCAACAGGTAGCTATTAGCAAATCGAACCCCTCCTGGTTTTGGACGTACTCGGCCACATGACCAGGCAAATCTAGAAAGGCCTTTGAGTTATATATATTTATAATGATTAAATTAGGCCCTATCCTGCCAATGCTTCTACTGACTTGCTTTTTCGGTTATATATTATACAGCACACTTTATTGGTTACAGCACCAGCTCAGTTTGCTCGCTTAATATGTGTCACTTTTTTTTCTATTTTATTTTTTTGTCACATAGCAATCCGCTTCAATTAACAATGACCTATTCCTTTGGCTGATTTTCATCTTATTAATGATATAAACAGAGTCAGATGCCCAGTGACATCCTCATCTTTTATTGTAAGATTTAATATCTATTCTCTAATGTATCTAGATATACTGTGTCTCCTTAGTCTAGTGAACTGCACTGTTCCTGTGCCTCTTAGATCCAACGCTAATTTATTAACGTGTGTCAATAACCTGACGTGGTATTTCTTGCTGTAAGCATAATATTTGTAAGTGTAATATTTGTCACTGTGGACAAAATCTAAAATTCAACCTTTTTGAAACCTTTAAATATATGTACATATATTCTTTACTGCAGCTATTACTGCAGATTATCCATTTAAATTCTTGAACATTAGCACAATGATTTGGCTGCTAGAAGATAATAATTTCAACTTTCTCAAAATAAGTTCTCTCTCTCGCTTTTTAATGAATGATGTATAATTAATTCCCAGTGAAGTCTGTTATACAAGGTACTTGTTGCCAGCATGAAATCTATAATGCTGTGAGCAGACTATGACATGAAATATTATCCCTTTAATATTAATAAGATACTATATGAATGTTAATAGTTCTATCTCAAAGGACTATCATTGGCTTCTAGCATAGTGGGCTCTGAGTGTGATCAATGTTGTACTTTGTAAAGAATTCTGCAATAGAAGTTACACACACACAATATAACCCCTAAAACTGCAGTTTATGCAGGAGTTAATGTCTTTATGCAATGACAGACCATATTCTATTTATTTTTAGAAAAGATCATTATTGGATAATATAATAATTCAGATTGTGACTGTTTTAGGAGTCTTATCTTCACAATATTAATCACCTGTGACTGCTGTCATCTCAATCTTTCTTTTTATCATATTACAATTAAAAATTTCAAACCTTATAAATTTATATGTGGAAATAGTAATACAATCTAATTAGAACATTGTAAACAGCCTAAATACCTAAAAATCCTTATTTGAGACCACCCCATGACATGCTATATGTGACAACATTAAAATTATCACAAAAAATTAAGCAGGGGAAAAAACATAACCATTTAAATCCATGTAATTCCGTGATCGCTTAATTAACTACTCTTTTACTGAAATGTATAGTACTGATGATCTGAATAAGGCCTATGATAATTTTCTTGAGATTTTCAAACTCTTTTATGACCTTTGTTTTCCGGAAAAAACAAATATTTATTCGGTTACACAAAAAGGCTAAGTGGATATCACATGGTAAAAGAGAAAAGCAAACTTGTTTGGTTGTATAAACATAACCCTTCTTTAATAAATAAAAACTATCTAAAGCAATACTCTAAAAGATTAAAGAAAATCATAAAACTTACACAGAAAGCACAAACATCATTTAATATAAATAACTCTGTTAATAAATCAAAAACCAGTTGGCAACTAATAAACCAGTCTAAAAATTATAAGCCAGAAAACTTTTTCAGCACGATTAAAGTAGGAAACAAACTTGTGCCAATAGCAAAGTATTTTAACAATTATTATATTGATAAAGTAGTACCATCTACGAATTTAGGAAATAATGTGTTACAGTTTGTTCCAAAGTTAAATAACTCAATATTTATATCACCTAGTACGCCATTAGATATTATAATAATAAAAAAAAAAATTATTAGTTTTGGTTATGACGAAACAAGCACAAAAGTATTAAATTCAGTGGCTGAGCTGATAAGTCCCCACATCTGTTATATAACTAACCTGTGTATCAGTGCAGGCATATTTCCTACAAAACTTAAAACTACTGAAACCACTTTTTAAAAAAAAAAAATAGAGAACTAATGGAGTTTTATAGACCAGTGGCTTTGCTACCTGTTTTCTTTTGTACAAAGAAACATGTGATTTTCTTGAAAAATATGTTCTCCTTGAAAACCAAAAAGGGTTTCGTCAAAGTAAAAATATAAACATGGCAATCTTTGACTTTTTGAACATTATTACATGTAACATGGGCAAAAGTAACTACATCACTGCTCTTTTTTGCGATATGACTCAAACTTTCGATGATGACGATTTTAACGTACTGTTAAGTAAATTAGAATACTGCAGGATGCAAGAAAATATATTAAACTTACTGGAATCTTATTTAAAAGATCGAATATTATACACTGAAATTAGTAGCATAGATTTTGTAAAAAAATCAGAACTTAAATTTAAATCTAACAAACGTAAGATTACATACGGTGTTCCGCAAGGAAGCATACTTGGGCCTCTTTTATTTATAATTTACATTAATGATTTTCCAAATTCAATTGACCACACTACAACCGTTTTTGCAGACGACAGCACCATAACTATTAGTTGTACAAATGACATTTTATATGAACATGATATTAATAGTACTCTTCATTCAATAATATCTTGGCTTGATAAAAATAATTTAATAATTAATTTAGACAAAGCAATTTTACCAAAGAAATAAATATATAAATTTAACCGTTTATAATAATAACAAACATATATATGAAACAGAAAATGTAAATTTCCTCGGTGTAAAAATTGACAACAATCCAATCCAATGGAAATCTCATACAGACGGTCTGTGTAAATGTCAGCTCTTCGGCCTATGCACTCTTTAAATTGTCCTCCATTTTAAGCACAGACACCATACTAACTGCATGTCGTGGTGTAGTTGAATCCTGTCTTAGATATGGAATAATTTTCTGGGGAAACTCAACACAAAAATATCAAGTTTTTAAGGCACAAAAAAGGTGTTTAAGGTCTATGTTTGGATTGGCAATAGCCGACAGCCACAAGCCATATTTTGCAAAGCATAAACTTTTTACCCTTCCTTATCTATGTATATATACGAAGTTGAATTTTTTGTTAAAACTTGTCCTAATAGATTCACCAAGATGTCAAATGTGGCAAATAGAAATCAATGCGACGATAAGCTATGTTTCCCAAAATCCAAAACTACATTAAAGACGAATAGTATACTAGGCATTAGCGTTAGGATATTTAATAAACGACCAAAGAAATTAAGAGATCTAGACTATTTTCGTTTTAAGAAAAAACTAAACGAGAATCTTATTAGTGAAAATTATTATCACATAAATGATTTTCTTAGGGACAACATTGAAAATAAATGGATTTTTTAATTATTAGTTGAATTATGGATGAATGAATGGTAAATTATATAATATTATAATATCTTGCACTGCACTAAAATTCGTATGTCAAATAATGACAAAGCATACATGCTGCTTTTAACTTATGTAGTAACTCATTTTCACTATGCTTAGCGAATAAATGATTTCTTTCTTTCTTTCTTTCTTCTTTAAATTAAACCACTGTATAAAATTAATTAGCCAATTCACAAAGAAGTAGTTTTACTACATACAACAATACAAAATCAAGCTATATCAAGAATACAAAAACAAGCTACTGCGGTCTCTTTTTTCCATTATCTCACAATTCTTATGAGATATATGAATTTTAAGAATTTTTAATATACTTAATGACGATTCCGAACTACTTTCTAAGCAGTCTGTTTCAACAAAGACTTCTGCCTGATCCATGGTAAATAGCTGCATTCCAATTGTGGTGTCAAAGTGGTTCAGTATTTAAACACTTTGATAACACCAGACATAACTTTTCTGTCCATTCAAAGCAAAAAACCAGAACCAGCACTATATTCATGAGTATGCCTCTATACTCTCATTACATATTGATAAATAAGGTATTTTAAACATATCAAAGAAACAAAAAACATTAGCTTAATCTCAATATTTCAAATGCATAATAATGTATTGTTTCATGTACAATACAATCATGAAATTTATGCTAACTATAGTAAGAAAAATACCAAATAGAGCTCTCCAAAAATATATCTTTTGTTGTCAACAGATAATTGAACCTTCATTTACATTAAAATTCATAGGCTGAAATGAATGACCCCAGATCTGACTGTCAGATAAGGAAATGTATGGTAGACATAATATTATGAAAGATGAACAGATATTTTAACGCACATTTCGTGACTACATCTGAAAACTTCCGACTGAATTCAAGTTCGAGGTATAGGTAGGTACTCACCGTCGTGTATGTCGATGTCAAAAAATCACTTCGGGGAATTCACACTTCTCATCGACGTAACTACAATGCATTGTCTTATCCACCTTTCCTTTAGAATACGTGATTAAAGGCAAACTATTGCATAGTTATAGCACAACCTGGTTAAAATTTCGAATTTTTTCAATTCGTGACTGATTAAAGACACATATCATTTCGTCAACAAAGTCTTCAATAACTTCCCTAGTTCCCTACGAACTACTTTGATTATGTATCAATGAACGTACTTAATTATAATGCGATTTTCATTAAGCGCTTTTTTGTTACATAAATTTAGTTGTAAAACATATATTGCACTGCAAATAATAAATTTTAACAAAGAACATATGCTGTAATCCAGATTTCGAGATGAATTTAATTTCGGTTTATGGTGAATTGAAATTAATAAATCTAAATTCTTTCACACAATGCCCACAGGCAGACAGATAACATATTTTTATTACGTCTCTGGCCTTTAAAGTTTAACTTATCCCAATACGCAATATTTGAAAGGCACAGACGTAATGTGTCTGAAAGACAAAACTAGATATGATTTTTTTAAATATACTTTAAGTTGTGTATTGTAATAACAATGCACAATTCTTTTTTATTAACCAAATTCAATGATCAATTCAGTAATTTTTAAATGAAGTAGACTAAAATAATAATAATGGGTTTCAGTTTTGTAAATACCCTAATAAACAATTATTTAGAGACGTCAAAATGTTTTTATAATGTTTTGTGATAATATTAATATTATATTAATATTTTCTTTTTACATTATGTTTCGAGTAGCAATTTTTAGCGAATAATAACATTTTTCTTTTAGATCATTATATAACTATATCAGGATCTATATTTCAATCACAATGAAGTGGTCTTTCATGGATCATACTATATTAAGATGTAAGTTATGGTTCATCATCATCCTCATCATAATCGGTTACTCTTGGCAGAGTAGTAGTAGTCATGTGGAATCCTTGTCTGTTAAAGCCTTGACAGCCACACTCGTAAAGTGGGGTTCTGGTAAACAATTTCACTTGATTAGTTCAACGCATGGGGCTTCATCCACGAAGTCCTTTACCGTTGACCCTACCCTGAACAACAAGTTTCTCTATAGATTCTGCTGGACAGAGACAATAAAAATAGTGTGAGATCGTGTCATCTTATACTTACCTAGGTTCACTTGTGACTAACAGTGATGGCTCAGAGGACGAAATAAAATGTCGCATAATCATAACACGATCGGCTATGGACCGACTCTCAAAAATAAGGAAAGTTATGATCACTTCGTTTTTTAATTATAACTCAAAATAGCGTTCAGTATTATAGGATATTCATGAACAGAACTGAGACATCACCAGAAATAGGCCTAAGATAGGAATCGGAAAAGTTTACTTATAAAAACTCACATTAATACAAAATTAAAAAGCAATATTTTGTTTATTGCTTAAATAAGTGGATAAGCTCATAGCCCACCCTGTGTAAGTAGTTACCGGAGGCCATAGACATCAAAACGTAAATGCAGTCACCCACCTTGAGACATGAGTTAGTTATATGTTTCAGTTTTACAGTACAACGGTTGTGCCACATTTCAAACCGAAACGCATTACTATTTCACGGCAGAAATAGGTATCTATTCGAGTGGGCTAACAAGCCCTCAATCACTAATAGTAGGTGGATTTTTTGTAGTGAAAGTATTATAATTTTGGGTGTCTGATAAAAGCCACTTACTTCAAGACTCTATTTTAGCAAACATAATTAAAAATAAACATCCAGACTAGCAATGACAAATTACTCAAAATTAGTCAAAACATCAACTACTTCAACTGCGCACTGCACACTGCCTTTTTTGTTAAAAATTTGGCTGTATATATATGTCTTCTTTGCACTTTCTAAATTGGAAAGTAAAACCACTACTATACTGACAAAAACTGACAACAGCCAAAGTCAATGAAAATGTAGTAAAGTAAATTCAAAAAAAATAAACAATTAAGATGCCCAGTTTTCAAAATTCTAGTGCTTGTAATAATTGAACGCATTGAATAATGTTAAAATGTAAATCGATTTAAACAAAGTAAATTACAGCATCCGTAACATGGATGCAGCGGCGTCTTCTAAAATCGATGACGATTTTAACAAACTACTTGATAATTATTTAAAGATTGATACAGACACGTTTTCAACGCGCTCGAAACAAAGAAGATCAGTAATAAAGTACACTAAATTACCAGATTACGATTTCAACTCAAACGGTAATATTTATTTACTAACCTTCGTTCATGATTAAAGGACGTCTGCTTTTAAGAATTGCGACATCCATTTTTCTATATGATTGTCTATTTTTGTTCGGTCTAAAATCAAGATTTCATTACTCTGAAAACACGTAGTGCTGACAATAACAGCTTGACATAAATAAGAGTTTAAATCTGTTCAAGGCAGTTTGACTATGTTTTTCACAATTTCTACTAAGGATACCTTTCACTGTGAAGGATGTATTTCCCAAAAAAAACTACCAAATGTCGCCTTAGCCATCCTCCATGATAATTCGAAGATACTTATTTGATTTTACACATTATGGTCTACCTAGGGTTGCACATTATTATTACTTTCTGAAAAATAGTGCAATATTTCTGTAAGAGATGTTGTTCTTTTGTAAATTTTGAGCCTTAATCTACAACAATATAATATATAGCTGATACATGATGATTGATTGATGATTACTAGAGGTTGCTTCTTTTTATCTCACATAGATTGAATTTACAATGTTCTTTGCACAGAAAGCTAAATTATAGCTATTCACTTAAAGAAATGCATTTTTTTAAAATATATATTCCCCAATTTGAGAACCTCACATTTCTACAAATGTTTACCAGACTAATCCAACTTTGTGCCCTGTTTACTATTTTATTTATATATATAAGGAATTTTGTTGCACTGGTTACATTTGTGTCATTATATCTCTCAACTGTATTTGTATATACTAGTAGGGGCTGACTGAACCTACTATGTAATGTTACAACACAATGTCACTTTTTTAGACCATGTCTAGTGTCTCTAGATCAACATCCCACATTTTGTGGCTAAGAGGTGGTCATGTGAAAGTTGAACCCACCAATCAACTATACTTTTCCCTCAATATGTCTGAACTCAGTGGACTCGGTTGCTTGAAACTTATTTAGATAAAAATTACATTTGTCAGCTCTTTTAAGCTATACCAAAGTGGTCTTGAATCTCAAAAAGGCAGGTGATTTTCTGCTACTAGATTACATTGCACATTCTTTGTGTGAAGGGTGTGAAGGAAAAATATTCATCCTGGCCACCCCATTCCTCTAGGCCTCTATTACACACTTGTCAACAAATTCTGGCAGTGATCTCACAGTATCAAGGTGTTTTACAACTCCCATCACCCTCCAACAAGAGCTGATGTCTCAACACTACGCACCGAGGATGCTTGTTACATTCTGACCACTAATTTCAAGTAGGGGTTCCCTTAATTATCTATATGACTGCCATATTGATACCTGTACACTATGTCTAAAATTCTGTGTTGAAATGCAAAGCAATAATGTGATATCTTTATGTGCCCCTTCAAGAGTTTCCAAAACAATATCGGGTGAAATCTTGCCTCCTGGTCCAGACCATGACCTAAAAATATGATCTGCAAAAATAGTGCATAGTTATTTAGTATCTGTTACTGTCAAGCATCTTAGCCAAAACGGTTGGTGCTCATAGGTTGGATCCCACTTGCATGATGAGGGTACAGTGCTATCTCTCTCATGTGAAGAAAATTTGCAGCCATGTGCTTCTCGATTGAAATATGTATTAAATGAATCAATAGCCTTTATAAACAGTACATGCTTCACCAAGAAAAACATATATTCTTCAACAGTCCCAATGGTCTAAATTTTTTACATACATACATTTATAATGCAACTTTAAGTGTTTTTTTAAATTGGATATTATTATGGTGAGTATTTACATTATGTTGCGTGTTTTTTTTTGTCTAGTGTCATGGGACAAAGGAACATACTTTCAGCAGCCAAGAGTACGTCGTATTATAACACTTGAAGATGAAGAATCAAAGACAAGTAGGTCATTGAAGCCGGATACCATATCTGTTCAAACAGGCAGAATGGCAAACAGCAATTCCAAAAGAAAAATTGTAACTATCAGTGAAGATGATGAAAATGATTTTCATCCTAGATTCTGTGAGTTGAAACAGTTTTTTTTACTCATTCCCTTTTTCAAATTAAATTTTGCAATACAATATATATCAGCATTATGCAAATTATTTAAAAATGTCGAACAGGATAGAGAAAGATTCAAAAATATGATAATGTCTTAAGGTTATAAAAATGTCATTGATTAACTTTAATACTGTAATATTTTACTAGTATATTTTTGTCAACAGTCAAAGATCGCAAATCGAACTCTGTCAAAACATCTAGTCGGTCCGTTGCAACAGATTTTAAAGAAGAAAAGCAGAATTCACAGCGAAGCACGTCGAGATTATCAACATCTACAAAATGTAATATTGTCCTAATTTGATTTTTCAAATCATTAAATTTTTGAAGTTATACTTCTTTAGGCGCGTTATGAAAAATTTATGAGAGTGAAATTTTACGATGCGCGCGCACCGTGACACAAAATTAACAGAATGAAGTTGCCCACTAAATCGCTCATTACAATACGTTCGACGTAACTTGGCGTGTCTGAATTTAGCCGCAGGTGAATTTTCGCGCATGTACACTCGTAAAAAAAGTGTTATTAGCATTCATTTTTTAGTAATATAAATGACAAAATTTTTATTTAATATAATTCATACTAAATATTATTAAATTATTAACGTTAAATATTTATTATTAATTATTTAATATAAAAAAAGAAATAAACTTTATAATAATAAAGTATAACTTCTTATGCGCGTACATAAGTACACGCACTCCTTTGTTAATGCCACAATGCACAAAGGGCATCTCTTTTTTTAAATTAACGATTTTAATTTTTTTTTTATCTTTATACCAGGTAATGTATAAAAGAGTGCTTAGAGAACAATAATATATATATCCCAAAATATAGATAGAATACCAATTAAAAAAATCTTACACTTTCCTTTTTTAAATAGCTGATGCTGTCAGCTCGGTATACAGTCCACCCGACATTAGCAATATTGGGGACACAATTGAGCTTTTGCGTATCTGTTTGCTCCTGACGTGTAAACGAATTTATCACCTACCTATGTCACAAACATTTCTCTGAACTGCACCTTGAGATAACCTGAGATAGCCCACGATTATCGAATTAAAATTACGAATAAAAATTCATTTCTGCTTATTTTAAGACAGTAAATAATTCATTTATAATTTTCAATGTATTTAAAAGTATTCAAGCTAATTAAATGTATTCAATGTATTCAAGCTAAGAATGTAATATATGTACGTCTAAAAAGTAATATTCAAAAAAGATTATAGATATACAATTAATTAAAATTGTTAAAGAACGGCTAAGTGTTTGTTTAAATTATTGATTGTAATTATTTACATTTAAAATTTTCAGGTAACAAAGGAACTAAGGCTGGCACCAAAACCACTAATTTATACAATTCTAAGAAATCGAACACGAAAGAAAAACAATCTTTCGATACGACGGAAAGTAATATTAAAATGCGCAATCTCAAAGACAAAGGTAATATGCATATTAAATTTATTATATATGTACATTAATAAAGATCAATTAATAAAAATCATATCTCACTTATTATCTGCTAGATGACATCAGGTTAACGGTTTAATTGGCATCGCGAATTGATCAGTTCTCGAATACTTATATCAGCAAACAGCATTCCGTGATAACCGAATCCATATTCCATATAACATAAAGAAGCGAACACATTTTTTCAACAGTTTTGCATAAACAAATTTAATATTTCAGATAACGTTTACAATAATCGAAGCACGTATTCGCCCGTTAAAATTAATCTCAGTAAAAACATAGTCGACACGGATGAGAACAGTAAGGAATTAGATATGGCAAAAACGAACATCCGCGACAATCGTAGAGCCGATAGTTCAGCGAGGAGGGTGAAGACTCACACAGGGAAGACGTCAATGCAATCCAACAAAAATAACGTGAAAATATTGAAACAGACGCAAAACAAACCGATAACTATAATTCATGTACCGTTCGAAGAGAAATGCGAAACGCGTCGCAACGAACACAAAAACGTTGCTCCTAAACGAATCCAGAAAACGAACACGGTCGATTGCGGTACAGATATGCGGGATTTCGTATATTTTGAGGACGTTCACATCAATACCGAACCCCTTCCGCCCACCGTCGACCGAATGACGGGCATGGACGAATTCGACTGCAGTCCCGTCTACAAAAGCATGCAAAGCACCGACGCACAGACCGAACTAATCAAGGCGACGTTCGACAGTCTTGAAATACCAAACGTCACATTAACTAAAGAACACAACAAGTACCAGCAAAGTGAATCGCTACCGAACATGAAAATTCCGTCTATGAAAACGACGTCCGATCAGGAAGACGATTCGTTTGTCCGCAAGACCGGTTCCTATATAATAAGTCGTGCCACTTTAACGTATACGACCAAACAGAAGATCAACATTCAAGTCGTCAGCAGTAGCGACGAAGCCGCTTCTGTACCCTCATCTAGTCCAATGTCTTACCCTATGAACGTTATATCGGTTTTTAAAAATGAAATAAAAAAGAATAGAGACGCAATGAATACATCACAATTTATTACGAATCACAATAATGAAGAAACTAAAGATAATGAAGACGATAAGGAACATAAATGTCGCAACGAAATCAAGTCATTACATTACTCGCACGCCTCCGACACCTACAAGTTGATGAAACCTTCGGAAATAATTAGTTCTATAAAAGTGAACAGTTTGGCGCAGAGCGACTTCATGTGCGAACAGTTCCAGAGGGAATTCAACTTCATTGATTCATTTTTTGAATCCCTACAATATTTAGAAAACTGTTCGTTGTCGAATAAATGTTTGTCGACGAATAAAGTTGAAAATTTGATTAAAAATCCGATTTTATACGATTCCGATTTTGATATCAAGGCCACTGAATATTTAGAATTGTTACCGAAATTCGAAAATGGCACTAGTCTCGAGAATGGCCAAACAATGGCAACGAAGAGCCTTTGTCTGGTGAGTGTTGTGTGCAGATTATATTGTAAATATTATTTTAAATCCTTTCAGAGTACTGAACATCATTTATTTTAAATTAATATCACATTAGGCTAATTGTATTATAAGTTGTCATTAACCAAATAAATAAGGCACTGATTACACGTTATTTTTAGTAGAGCAAGTAAAACGAAAACGATTAATGTTTGTTTTGTGATTTGTTTCCAGCTCAATTTACTCATACGCGATGAGCAAAGGCGAGCCAGAAATCTCTTGTATGTACTTAAGATGCGCGAAGACGCTCTGAAGGACTTCACAAAATCGCAAATATTATGGCTAGAGAATAAGAAGAAACACGAAAACACTGACGTGTCGACGTTAAAGAAGAAACAGCGCGGCGCTCTTTTAAAATTACAGCACGAATGTGGGGAAATGCATCGTATGCGTAAAGCACTATTGACGCTTTCGGAAAAACGTAAAGACGCCCTAATCAAGACCAAGAAGAACATTGAACTCAAATTGAAAAACAACGTAGACGTTGAGCATCTGATCGAGAAAAAGAAATTGAAAAGGAACGGTTCAGATAGGAACATTGTTCCGTTGAAGTGCTTCGATTTGTCTAGTAGTGGGTGCGAGGAGACCTTAACCTCTCGGTCCACTTCCGAAATCGCAATCCGCAATACGGACATCGCCAATGTTACGTCTGTTAGCATTAAAAGTGCAGAAAAAAGTATACAAACTGGTGACAGTATTTTAGAAACATTAATGACTGCGCCCACTGACGCCGCCGCGGAGAATTTCGTTGTAGTCGACGGCGGCTACCTTAATATAATTTTCCATAATTTAACATTACCGCAGATCTTCAGTAATGGCAAACAGTACGAGGTGAACGAGGAAGCGTTGAGGAACATAGTAAACTCGTCAAATCAAAATCAGTTAAGCGGCAATGAAGTTGTGAAAAATTTAATGGAGCAAATACAAAAAGGTGATATAGAAATGACTAGCACTCCATCCACAGCCCGTAGTCTCGTCGAGGAGTTCGATCAGTATTACAAGAGTTTTGTAGAAGAGGAGATACAACTGAACAGGCCCGAACGAGAATACAAACCCCCAGTTGTTTGCGAAATTGAGGACAAATATGTGCAGGTGTCTCTTCCGAAACTGGCACCTATCGAGCCTCGCAGTTACCAAAGCGCCTCAACAATGACCTGTGACAGCAGTGACGACAATGATGACATACTAGAGAATCTGTGTACTTATGATATGGTTCCAATAAATAAACCAGAATATCCAGAGCTTGAAGAGACGATTCCGCAGACTGGTCCTCTACCTGTCCCTGTAGGCGCTTCATATGTACCGGAACCTCAAACGCTTGATAGCACCTCTTGGTCTCAGATAAATACTTCTCCATCGCCTCTTGGTATGTATATATTTGTGATTTACTGTTATTTATAAATTGTACCCCTACAGGTATATACCACCGGTCTGTGACACAATTACACAATAGAGACTCCCATCTCATGTTTCAAGATGAGTTGAGGCGATCACTTTCTAATGTCACCCATCAAAACAATAAAATAGAATAAAAATACATGAATTGCTTTAATACTGCATTACTTAGACAACAAGATCATACAAATGGACCTAAATATTCCCACAGTGAAAGAGGAAATAGTAGCTTACAGCAAGAAATACTAAGTAAGGTTATTGAAACACGTCAATAAATTGGCGTCGGACCTAGGAGGCACAGGAGCAATGCAGTTAACTAGACTAAGTCTAACAATGAAAGATGAAGATGTCACTGGACATATGACTCTGTTTATATAATTAATAATATGAAAATCAGCCAAAGGAACATATTGTTAATTGAAACAGATGGCTACGTGACAATAAAACAAAAAAGAAAAAAAAATGCTTTGATTTACAAATTTTTTTTTTAGACGTGTGGACGAGCTCACATCCCACCTGGTGTTAAGTGGTTACTGGAGCCCATAGACATCTACAACGTAAATGTGGCACACACCTTGAGATATAGTTCTAAGGTCTCAGTATAGTCACAACGGCTGCCCCACCCTTCAAACCGAAACGCATTACTGCTTCACGGCAGAAATAGGCGGGGCGGTGGTACCTACCCGTGCGGACTCACAAGAGGTCCTACCACCAGTAATTACGCAAATTATAATTTTGCGGGTTTGATTTTTATTGCACGATGTTATTCCTTCACCGTGGAAGTCAATCGTGAACATTTGTTGAGTACGTATTTCATTAGAAAAATCGGTACCCGCCAGCGAGATTCGAACACCGGTGCATCGTTCGATACGAATGCACCGGACGTCTTATCCTTTAGGCCACGACGACTTGTAAAAATCTTGTTTTATAACCCAACAGAACAGTGCAGTAGCAGACAGACATTTGATGATAATATATCAATGTCATCAATGGTGTCACCGGTGCAATATGATAATATATCAATGTCATCCATGGTGTCACCCGTGCAATATGAAGCCGAAGAATTGCGAAGACAGCAGCTAGCTATAGAGAGAGAAGTAAACATTTTATTTTTAAACCTAATTTGATTATTTGTATTGGGGTAATATTATTGTCTGTAGAGTGTGTAATATTAGTGTCTGTTCTTGATATTTATTCTCATTCGACAGATAAAGGCATTAGAACAGGAACAATGCAGGCTGCTGGTTGTACGAGAAATACCAGACAAGCCTCCGCCACCGTATACTCCACCTGCAGATCCACGAATTCCGAAACGACCACGTATGTTCCTCGCTGACGAAAAGACAAACGAAATAATATATGAACATATTAATCACCCTGCAAGTGCCGCAATAGAACCCACCGAACCGTTCGACGTATTCCTCAAAGACTTTTGCGAGGAAACGTGCGAAAGACATAAACAAGTTCAGAGTGATAAGCCATGGGATGCGTGCAATTTATTACCACAAAAACCTCAGATCGTCGGAGATAAATTACTTAAGGAAATTTCTATGGAGTTAACTGAAGTTTTGAGCGGTGTCAAGCCCACCGTAGTCTCAGGTAACTAATTTCTTAATATTAAAAAATAAACTACAGGTCAGTGCATTTTATTAGTATCTCTGGCTATTAACTAAAACTCCTCCTGCATTTGTTACTAATTTTCTGTGATTTATCAACACTAAGAAGATCCTCTAACCCACCAAATATATTTTATGCATCAGTGGTAAGGTATCCTGCAAGCGGAAATGAGTGGGTGCGACCATTTAGTTATTTTGCATTCCAGTTTGAAAGATAAAACTGCAACACTGAAACCAAATAAGACCAATCTTATGTCAATGTATATTATGTATGTTTTTATCATCAGTTCAGTTGATCAGTTAAATCATCAGTTTGTAATGTTTGTATCGTCGGACCGCAAGTACTGGCGATACGTACCCCTTAGCATGTAATCGAAATGATTACTTCGATTTCATATACAAATAAATAAATATGTTAAACTTTAGGTGTAGCAGGTCGCCGTTCTGACCATATTGATGATATATTGTTTGCGGAGTGGCGCCGCTGCGAGCCTGAATGGACTTCGCTACACACAGACGAAGCGACCGTCAAAAATCAAATCTTCGAAAGCATTTTCCAGAGAATCTTAACCGAAACGATAGACGAGTATAAAAAGACTGTGATGTGTGACAGTAAACCTGACCACAATACCTAAACTACGTTACATTACAATTTTTAAAATAGTATAATTAGTAAACTTTACTTCAATCAAATCCTTAGTCAAATATATTTATAATAAGTTGTCAATCTTATGAATTATGTCAATGTCATTTGTGTTTGCGTTTTTTAAAATTTGATGATAGGAGTAAGAGTTTGTTTCTAAAAAATCGCCGTTTAAAATTAATCACAAGTATTGATTAATTGAATTTAGGACATCATTTATTGTGACGGCGTGACAGATCAAAGTATGCTTTGAAAAGATGATGCCAAAAACAGATTACAATTCACAAGTAACAGTTCTATGAAATAGAGCTAAACTAAAAACTAATGATAATTCAACCGGATCCATTCCAGTTCCGCATTCCAATATTTTGCATTCATTTCACACTGATTATTGTGTGTCTAAGTAATCAAAATAGAATATTACCATCAATGAAAAAGTATAATTAACAAAAAATAACAATAAATGGAAATTTAATAACGATCCTGCAAAACTCGAAGTTTTGCTTTTAAAACGTACCTTCACAAAATGTCTCAGTTCGATCTTATTAAAGCTATTACCATGACACATACTCTTACTTTTATTAAAATCAATGACCTCAGAAATTTTATTGCTCGAAATCCTAGAGAGGAGGAACTTGAAAAAATGTTTTATTGAAATAAGTTTTGTGAGTGTTTTTAAATTGAAACTCTTATTTAATTAGTTGTGTTAAATGTGTTATGTAATTTATTAAGAACCAAAAAATAGTTAAATCTTATTGTATATTGAGATTAACTTGTTGAGGCGTCTGTATACTAGGGAATTAAATAAGTTGCATGTTAAAGCTATTGCTTAAATGGAAAAATACAATAATGTAGTTTGTTTGTTTAAATTATTTATTCAGCAATGTTATATTATGACAAAATATCACAAATTGTAGTTGATCATAATAATCGTTACTTAGATATAATAATTATACATGTATGTATATTTGTCAAATGCATTTAAATTCCATTATAATGTAACCTGTAGGCAAGCAATATACTATTCCACTATACATGTTGTTTTAATGCTCATAATAGTATTAAATATAACACAAATCTTTGTTATTTGACATAAAGACAAGCATTTTAGAAATTAAAACAGTATGTGTCTTATAAACTGACAATAGGTTGGTTATATAGTGAATGCACAATATGGGTCCTGTAGAAAAAAAAACATGGGCCTACTTGCTATGATCACCAAATAGCAACATAGTAAATGAAAATAGGAAAAAATTTCTTGCCCAACATAGGAAAGCAGACAATGTCAAATATCTCTTACGTAACAGAAATATGTTTAATTTATAAGAATCTTGATAATGTCCTATTTCTTAAAATTAATTTTAAATTTATTTCTGAACTGAGAAGATCAAACAATCGGTCTACCATATTAACTGACGCTTAAAATTTAAAATACTGCTTTAAAATAAATAATTACCTTTGATGTGCTAACAATTTGTTTATTTTCTTGTGTAAAATTTCGTTATACCTTTAAAATCTAAATACTCTGTACTACTGAGAAATTTTTCTTTTGAAAGTGATTCAAGAAATAATTGTTAAAATAAATTTTTTTCAATAGTACTCAATTTTCTGCTGCGTTGTAAGTGCAAATAAAAAGCGGTGCAATATGGGCTATATTTGTTGTTTGTTCTAATTTGTTCATCGATAAGAGAACCGTATTAGTTGTCAATACGTCCTTAAAATTGGACTAAATTTTAAATTGAAATTGAAATGAAGCCGGCAATCCAAGGGCACATTAATTTCATATATTAAATTGTCAATTTCATACTGCCTAAAATTGTTTTATCTTTGAAGAGGATAACAAAACATATTTCAAAGGTGCATTGAGACCGTTACACAAATCGTGTCTAGGTAAAACTAAACTCTTGATCCTTTCATACATGTTAAGATTAAAAATCGCAAACGAAGCTTTTTTAACAAACAATTCTGTATGTTACACAGCTGACGCGCCGCATAAAGCGTTTAGAGGAATTGTGTGTATCGGCCAGCAGCATTTGTTATACACTGCAGGTCTCTGATGATGAAATGTCCATATAGACAATCATTTATGATTGGGTTTTTTAATTACGGTATAGTGGCACCTTTGCTGTTCTGGAATATTCCTAAAAGATAAATTTATCAGCCGTAAAATATATAAAAATAGTATTTCCTCCTTCAAGTGGTAATTACTTATCTAAATCGCGTTCTGTATCCAGTAGAGTTGTTAGTAGTTCAGCGAAGGTTTCTGGCTATCAACGGTACCATAAGCGGCACCCGAGTAGACCAATATATAATTGCATTATAGTACTATGCATACATAATCGAGTCTCTCAGACTGAGGCCTATGAGCTCGCCTACCAAATCGCGCGTTGTTGGAATAGCCCTCGCAGCTACAGGCGATTAGGTAGGAAATAGTTGACCGAGATTCACGAATGCGCCTCATGAATACATGTTCTGATTTAACTCCTCCTTCTAAAAATGTAATTATGAAATAAGTTAGCCATTTTGAAAATAAAACGAAATTATCTATGTAATACTTTTTTCCATTAGGCAAAAGGCGAGATTACTTAATCTAAAATACAAATTATGAGACTAGTAAAAGCCTAGTGATTAAAGTAAAATAAATTACACAATTAATATTCGGAAAACGATTTTACCACAAAGCAATTCTCATTTTGATATAAAATATGCATTCGATCCTACTTTAATGTATCATCTGATTTTTATGTGAGAAAAAGTCGACAAGAAAATGCTGTAGCTTTATGATAATATCGAATTTCTTCCTTAACAAACGAATGAGAATCTCATAGAAACTCCGCAAAATAACTAACTAAACATTTATAATAATGTTTATCATTTGTCTCCTAATCATTTAATTAATTTATAAATTTTAAGGCACTAGCATTGTTTGTGTCTGTGGGAGTTTTTTTTAGATTCAGTCATCAGCTTTCAGAATAGACTCCAGAGGATTTGGACCTTTCCTTCTTGGATTAGGCGGCAATTTTGTCACTTCCGCTGAAAAAAACAAGAGATGTGTACAGGCAAATTGACAGTTCCTAGTTTATAAATTAGCGCGCTAAATTGACTAATCTTTACCAAAATGACGTCATTTAGGGTCAAAGCATGCAACGAACTATAATTGTTGCAAAGTACGAGCGCGCGTGGGCTTTATTTGTAGTTGTAATAGTAAATACACATTTTCGTTAGTGTGTGTACCCGACTGAGCAGTCAGGGTTAGTAGCGTAGCGAGTGAGCCATCGCTCGATTCACTTGTACTTATTGTCTCCACGTTGCTATTGTTCACGAAGTACGGTCAACATGACAAATATTAAAAGGGAAAGAAAACGCAGTTATTCATGGCGAGGTAAGTTTTTTTGGAGTTTACTCCTTTAGAATCGATTTACATATATAGGCCCGGGGTATGAAAATTATGGGGACCAAAATCGTACTAGCATGTCACACGAAATGCGTTATGCGCCTGATTGGCTCCTGATTGCGTGATGCGTGCGCGCGCCAATCAGGAGCCAACGCGCGGCCGCGTTATCGCAGGTGACGCCGGGCTGCTGCGCCGGCAGTCCGCCACAAAGCCTCGTACTGATCGCGCGTTTCTCTCATTATTGTATTTTCATATATTTGTTAGTCGTTTGTTTTGTGTCTCGTTAATTTGTTAATAATCTGTAGTGTATCGTGTTGTCGTAATATAGAACTATTTCTCGTATTGTTTCGTTTAATTTTTTATATCCAGTAAACTCCAGTCGTGCGTCGGAGCGGACACACACACTTTTTTTTATTAAACTTGTCCCTAAATATCGATGTAGTTACTACATGCAATTTATGCGTATATAGAATTAAAAAAAACATTCGCGCAACGAAGGGAACGCAAAGATAGATTTCGGGTTCGATAAAGTTCGGTTCGTGGATCGCGTTTGGTTTTATAATTTTTTTCTCGAAATAGTCGTATCAAAAAAGTTTAATAACAAATTATGTTTAAAACAATACCTATCAATTAACAATATTAATTTACTGTTTCCAGGGACTTGTCATTATTGTCCGCGTGTACCACTTTCTTCAAGAAGAGTATAATTTAATGAAAGCGAACAATACGGATAATTGTGATTTGAGTCCTTTGGCCAATATATACGGAAACGGTATGTAACGATAACGGATAACGGATGAATTAGTGAATTTTTGTTTGCTAACCGTACGTGCTCTCACGCCTACATTGACGCGTATACAGATTGATCACTCACACAACTAAGGACGGCGCGCAGTCGTACTTTGTGCAACTATAACCGTAAATTATTCACTAATAAATATTAGTCACCTGTGACATTATGCGTTATCATTTGTTAGGAAATAAGGGATCTAAAAAATACAAATTTTCATTTAGTGATTTAAATCATGCATATTGACACAAAATAATTATGGAGACACTTGATTGTTTTTTCGTGTATGATCTAACCTTACCTTCCGGAAATCAAATAGTTAATGTAGTAGTAGGACATTATTTGACATTGACATAACGTTTTAAGACTAGATTGTGTTCCACTTAGTGATTATACGTTCTATTTGAAGGTTTGAGAACTCGAGAGAGACTTCGATCTCATGTCGTCTTTTCGCATTAAAAGTGTACAATTTCCAAAAGTATACGAAATTGAGTTAATATGCGGAATCGTTTGGTATCACCAGTATTTTTCTCATAAATACTGTCACAAGAGCGTAGTTTAGATTTAGTTTTTTTTTTTTAGTTTATCTATGTTTTGACTACTATTAACAAAATTAATAGATAATTTTATCTTACTTTAAAAGACAGATAATGTAGTTGGTAAAAAAAAAAAGTGTGTGTGTCCGCTCCGACGCACGACTGGAGTTTACTGGATATAAAAAATTAAACGAAACAATACGAGAAATAGTTCTATATTACGACAACACGATACACTACAGATTATTAACAAATTAACGAGACACAAAACAAACGACTAACAAATATATGAAAATACAATAA